GGTGGAGAATCAAACAGAGAAGAAGATTAAGAGGCTTCGTGCTGATAATGGTCTGGAATTCTGTTCATCAGACTTCAATCAGTTTTGTAAGGATGCAGGAGTTGGTAGGCATCATACAATCAGTTATACACCACAGCAGAATGGTGTAGCAGAGAAAATGAACCAGACATTGCTGGAGAGAGCGAGGTGCATGCTTTCAAATGCTGATTTAGAGAAGAGGTTTTGGGCTGAGGCAGTAAACACGGCTTATTATTTGATCAATCTGGGACCACACACTAGGATCGAGTGTCGAATACCTAATGAGGTGTGGTCAGGTAGGTCTGCTGATTACTCTATTCTGAGAGTTTTTTGTTGCACAGTTTACTATAATGTTGATGAAGGAAAGCTGGAACCAAGAGCTAAGAAGGGAGTGCTTATGGGCTATGGAGATGGTGTCAAGGGATACAGAGTTTGGTCTCCTTCTGAGAAGCGAGTGATCATGAGCAGGAACGTTGTGTTTGATGAGAGTTCTATGATCAAAGTTTCAGCTGAGTCTCTTTCAGAAGTAGAGCAAGAGGATTTTGACAAGCAGGTGGAGCTGCAGGAAGTGCAGTCGGTTGAACCGTGTCGATCGATGACGGATCAACAATGTGGATCGATGACGGATCAACATTGTCGATCGACGTCAGATGTTTAGTGTCGATCGACGTCGGATGGTTAGTATCGATCAACGTCAGCAGAAAAGATCGATCGATCATTGACAAATGAGCAGCCAGAGACGTCTAATTCTGAGAGTCAACTTGTTGGGTCTGAAAAACGCAGTATTGCTAAAGATAGACCAAGGAGAGTTGATGTCAGGCCACCAGCGAAATATCGGTTTGAAGATATGGTGGGTTATGCACTACAAGTTTCAGAGGAAGTGGACACTTACGAGCCGTCTACTTACAGAGAAGCCATCTCAAATTATGCATCTGAGAAATGGTTTGCTGCAATGGGAGATGAGATGGAATCTCATGAAAAGAATCACACATGGGATCTGGTCAGACTACCACATGGGAGAAAGGTTGTGACTTGCAAGTGGATTTACAAGTTAAAAGATGGTCAATCACTAGAAGAAGGACCAAATTACAAATGTCAAGTTGTTGCTAGAGGTTTCAGGCAAAGAGAAGGCGTGGACTACAATGAGATCTTCTCACCTGTGGTCAGACACACTTCTATCCGAGTGCTATTGGCGATAGTGGCACGTCAGGATCCGGAGTTGGAGCAACTTGATGTGAAAACTACTTTTCTTCATAAAGAACTTGAGGAGGAGATCTATATGACTCAACCTGAGGGTTTTCTGGTTCCTGGTAAGGAATATCATGTTTGCAAGTTGAGGAAGTCACTTTATGGACTTAAGCAGTCTCATAGACAGTGGTACAAGAGGTTTGACAGCTATATGGTTAAGTTGGGCTACGACAGGAGTTCTTATGATTGTTGTGTCTACATGAGCAAGGTGGAGGATGGATCATATATCTACTTGGTGCTGTATGTAGACGACATGATGATAGCTGCCAAGAAGAAGTGTGATATTCAGAAGCTGAAAGAGCTACTGAGTTCTAAGTTTGAGATGAAAGATTTGGGTGTTGCGAGGAAGATTTTAGGAATGGAGATTTTCAGGGATAGGGCGAAAAAGAAGTTGTTCTTGTCACATAAGGCGTACATTGAAAAGGTTTTGACGAGATTTGATATGCTTAATGCTAAGTGTATCGATACTCCATGTGCTACAAACTTTCATCCTACCATGAGTTTCGAAATGTCTGAAGGGGAAATCGATTATATGTCACGAGTTCCATATGCTAGCGCTGTAGGAAGCCTGATGTATGCTATGGTCTGTACAAGACCAGATCTTGCACATGCAGTGAGTGTGGTGAGCAGGTTTATGGTTCAGCCACGCAAGGAGCACTGGATGGCTGTGAAGAGGATTTTCCGGTACCTTAAGGGTACATCTGATGTTGGTCTTGTCTATGGAGACAAAGATCCAAGACTGGTTACTGGTTATTCTGATTCAGATTATGCAGGAGATGTGAACAGCAGAAGATCTATGACTGGTTACGTATTTACTTTGGGTGGTTATGTTGTGAGCTGGAAGGCGACTTTGCTGTCGACGGTGACTTTGTCTACAACCGAGGCAGAGTATATGGCATTGACAGAAGCGGCTAAGGAGGTAATATGGTTGAGATGATTGGTCAGCGATCTTGGTCTTCATCATGATCAGGCTACTGTGTTCTGTGATAGTTTGAGTGTTATCTTTTTAGCCAAGGATCAGGTTCATTATGAGAGAACCAAGCATATCGATGTAAGATACCATTTTCTGAGATATGAGAAGAGGATTGAAGTGAAGAAGGTAGGAACAGCTGATAATCTTGCGGATATGTTCACTAAGCTGGTTCCTCACAGCAAGTTCAAGCATTGTCTTGAGTTGTTGAACATCTCAAGCTGTTAATCTGGCCCTGAAGGGCGTCTGACCCTAAGGGGCATCTGGCTCTGAGGAGCGTCTGGTCCGATAGGACATCTGACATCTGAGTTCGACGGAACATCTGAGGCAAAGAGAGAGTCTGGTACATTTGAGCACGAAGAAGTGCATCGTGGTACATCTGATTATGGAGGATTCAAGTCAAGGTGGAGATTTGTTGAAATATGCCTTGAATCTACGATCTGGCAGGACACGTATCGATCGATACAGGAGCTTTTGTATCGATCGATATTGTGTCAAATCCGAGAAAATATGGAAAGTTTCATTAAACGTTTTCTTATATATCTTTAGGGTTTTACCCTATTCTGTAACACCAGTTGTACTCTGAAAACTATAGCCTCCACTAATAAAGTACTTGTTTTGCCCGTGGAACAAACCACATTAAATCTTTGTATCATTCTTTATTGTTTATCAATCTGTTAATTTGTATCTTCTCACATCTGTCATAACAGATGTTAAAATTTAGAAGAAAAAACTTAATTTTTTAATTTAGATGTTATAAATCCTAAACAATACTAGTTATTGTAAAATAGAGAGATTATAGTAAATACTTTAATATAAGGTATGGTCCATTTGAAGGGTAGCATCTGACAAAGGGGGAAATGAGAATTTTAGTTGACTCAAATAAAATAATAGAAATGATTTGAGTGTTCGCTAACAAACATGCAACGCTTCTCTCACAAGCGTAAGGTACGTTACGTTCCTGGATGGGACAAAACAAAACAATGTATATTTTTTTGTCAACAATGTTTTCTTTTTTATATATATTTTAGTATTCTATCAGTCTATTTATTTATTTTCTTTCTAAGATCGTTTTCTATTTATTCAGCTTCGTACATTCCATCAACCTATATACATGCATTACACTAATTTAATACAAAATCATATTGAACGCGCCTTCGTTTAGATCGTCTATTTTAAATCTAATTAATTAATAGCAAGATTTGCAATTAGGGTTATTTGCTGAAACCATCTCTCTGCTTTGTATATATTTGATGAACTCGTGTTGACGTGGTTAAATCGAAAAAAAAAATGGAAACAAAGTTGAATTGCGATCATTGGACTACAACGGAGTGGAATTTTAAAACACCGCTTTGAATCTGCTTTGAATAAGTATATTTCCCGAGTTACGATGTTATTCTTTGTCATTTTGGAGAGAATTAGAAGGACCAAGTCGCGTCCGTTACAAAAACAATAATATTAAATTGAAATTTTTATTTATTTCTGTTTTCTTGTGTATGACCTTTGTGGTACATATATCGCATCTTAATTGCCATTTACGATTATTCTTGGTATCTGTCCAGTACATTATTTCTGTATGTTCTCCCAGTTTGAATATAGATAATGTTTTCATTAATGCACATAATGATAGTACTATTTGTAAAATTCATAATATAAGAGTTCATTGCTTATATTGTTAGTCAGTTAAGAAGTATAATAACTATTCCAATAAGTCTCTTTCTTTGGCTATTTTTCATAACTCTAAGTTTTTTTGCCAAAATAACTCTAACTATTTTAAATATTAAATAAAATGGAAATCCAGATAACCAATATATGTTACTCTTTTAACTGCACTTCAGTAATTTTAAACATTTTCTGGATATATTGAACATATTAACTAAATTAATATTTCTACCTTAGGTAGTACATATGTAATATTTAGATATCTCTCTTTATTTAAAACTATGTTTTGTTTTAGTTAATTAAGTAGTAGATCATTTGTCTTAGTTACCATGTTTGTTAGTATGTTTAATGCGAATTTAAATCATTTAGGTTCCTTATATTCTTGACGAGAATATGCATATCTGATTAAGTGGAGTCTTCTGACCAATATTTTGTCATGATATCAAAGACAATAAAAATAGTCAAGGAATTTATGCAAAGCCCTAAAATGGAATTCCATCATTCCTTATTTTCATAAAAAATGATAGTTCACGTATATTATATGACTTATTTTGCTGTTTATAATACTAGTTGATGGTCTAAATCATTTGGCTCAAAATGATTATATGCTACGTCATTTAATTAACCTGACTTTGTTGACAAAAAAATAATAATAATAACCTGACTTTCTATTTTGCTTCTACCAGCGTTTTAAAAAAAAATAAGTAGTATTGGTTTATGGTTTGAAAGTTCTCATACATATTATTAGCACAGAAAACAAGAACGGAGGTGTCGAGTAATTTTTGCACTCGAATATACAAAGGAATTCATAGAAACGGAAAATGTCTTGACGAAAAGCACCACAACATGACAAATCACAACAAAAAGTTTAAAATAATTTAATATCCTTTTAAAGGTCTATACTTCATGTTTTTCCCCACTAAGAAAAATGAGAAAGTAAAAAAAAAAAGGCAGAGGTTTCAAAGACAATTAGTCCAAGAAAATTTGTCTATCTTAAAATAGAGAACTCTCTAGTAATTTCCTTCAACCCTTTTTGATTTGCGCAACCATATCAAATCGACCGACAGTTTTCAAACAAATTGTAAAATAACGAAAAGAAACAATGAAGACCCCTATCGTTAGATCATATGTTAGGTCAAAAGTGCCTCGTCTGCGTTGGAATTCTGATCTTCACAACTCTTTTGTTCAAGCCGTTGAACAACTCGGTGGAGAACATAGTAAGCAGTTTCCTTTCTCTTCTAAAGTTATAGTCACCAATGATCTCAAGTATGAAGAAATTTCTCAAATTCTGTCAACAACATTTCCTCTAGTAAACAAAAAAAAAAACAGTTTTTCCAAGTAAAGTTTATCAACCATGGAAATTCTATTCTTTTGAGGTTATGTTTTTGTTTTGTACTGATTCTTCATACTGAAAGCATAAGAAAATAAAATGGTACAAGCCTTTTTAGGCTTCAGTTTGTTTCTTTTGAGGTTATTGCTTTTAAATTCCTGTAGTAAAGTCCCTCTTTGATTTTTTTTTTTTTGTTTCTGTTTTTTTGTATAAGTAAGTCCCTCTTTGATTTCGTCTCACTCAAAATCAAGGTATTACAAATTTATTATCCTTCTGAAAATTGCAGGAGCAACTCCTAAGATGGTTTTACAGTTAATGGATGTGAGAGGACTCACAATATCACATGTAAAGAGTCATCTCCCACTACAAGAAAGAGGCCTTTATACCGACACTCAATTTTGTCAGAATCTCGTCGGAAGACCTTACCTCCGAGGATTTTCCGAGAACACTCAATTGGTCGGGGTTTGACGGTCGGAAATAATAGGAAGTCGGTATGTTGTCGGAATTTAACGATAAAACGTGTTCTCGGATAATTTCTCGCTAATGATTGTCGGTAATTA